TCGGACTCTTCTGAAAGAAAAGGAGTAATGCTCTTTGTGAGTACACGGAGCACGGTGGGAGAGACAGCCAACTCGTAGGATACACAGACACGGCGGGCATGCTGGACTCCTGACACTGGGAATTTAAAACTACTGTAATTAATAAGCTAAATGGTCGAATGGAGAAGGTAGGCAGCAGGCAAGAGCAGATGGGCAGTGTAAGCACAACCAGAAAGACATGCTAGAGATTTAAAACACAACCAGCAGAAACGAAGAGTGCCTTCGAAGAACTCACTAGCAGACTGGACACCGCGGACAAGACCGTCTCCAAGAAAATGCTGCAACGGGACCCCCAAAACCTAAAAAGCAAAAAGCATAACGTCTGAAAAAAAAAAACCAGAACAGACCCTTGGGAACCCTGTCCCAGGTATCTCTTCGTCTGGCTGTTCATCTGTAACCTTTATCGCGTCCTTGACAATCCACTAAATGGTCAACCTAAGCGTTTCCCTGGGTCCTGTGAGCTGTCCTGGCAAATGATCTAATCCAAGGAGGGAGGTCATGGGACCCTCTGACTTGTAGCCAAGTCAGACGGGTCGTGGGCAATCCGGGGACCCGCTACTTGCCACCGGCATGTGAAGTGGGGGGGCTGTCCTGTGAGACTGAGCACGTACCCCCTGGGGTCCTCGCTAGCTCTGATTAGGGTCAGAACTGAACCGGACACCCAGCTCGTGTCACAGAGAATTGCACATTTTACCATTATAATAATGCCTCCTGATTATCTTTCTCCTTCCAAGTATTTTTAGGATACCTCTGCTTTTGATGCTCGCTTCGACAGCACATATACTCGGATACCTCTGTTTTGGAATAAATGACCGAATGAATAAACCTTTATTCTTTCAACCAATATTTATTGAACCCGGTGCTCAGTACTGACAATACAGAGCTTAACAAAACATGGTACCTGATCGCACAGAGCTGAGTGTCTAGGAGATAAACAACAACCAAATAGTCACACAAATATGTAACTATAGTTGTGACAGGTGTCCTAGAGAAGAGTCGTGTGAGGCCATAAGCGTCTTTAATAAGGCGATCTGACCTGGTCGGGTTTCGGCGGGGTTTACTTGAAGAGACGATGCTGGACTAAATCCCAAGGGATCAGTAGGAGTCACCGGGGCGACAAGATAAAGAAAAGCGCCCCAAGCAGAGGAAGCAGCAGCTGGTGCGAAGGCAGCATCACTCCAGGGGACACGTGAGGGTGAGACGCTGACGGAGGCCGCGTGC